GGGCCCAAGAGATCCCAGGAGGCCTCCAAGAGGTTCCGAGGACGCCCCAAGAGGCCCCCTCTTGGATGCCCATATGTGGCCACCGGTCCCTGGAGAAGGGCGCCTATTGAGCCCAGGCCGCGGTGCGCACTCGCCCACCCTCCTCCACCACGGCCCCCAGAGGGGCCCGAGAAGAAGAAAAAGTACAAACAACGAAATGTTTACCGTTTCGGGTGGTTTAGGCGCCGTGTTGGGGCCCTCTGGGAGCCCTCTGGGAGCCCAAGAGGACGTCCTGGGAGGGGCGCCCCTGGGGCCTCGGGCCTCCAAGATGGCCTCACAAGGGCCCCCTTGCATGGCCCCAAGAGGGCCCCGAGAATAAGAAAAATGGTAAGCAACCGTTTGTTTGCCGTTCGCCGATGGAAGTGATGATGATGATGATTTTGAACGCACTGGAACTGCGTCGACCGAAATCACGAAGTGTACGTAAACTGCGTGCCCGCCTGGCGCGGGCGATCGCATGCTCGTCAAGCTGCGTCCTGGCGGTCGGTCCCGTCAGGCCCGCCGCCCTGGTCCTCGGCGCCAGCGCTGGCGAGGCCCTCGCCGCCCAGGACAAGGTCGCTGTGCTCGTCCATCGGTGCCCACCCTTGCTGCCCCACGTCGTCGCCCTGGTCGTCGTCTAGCACGACAGCAGTCGCAGGGGCCCGCGCTTTCTTGGTGGGCCGCAGGTTCACCTGCTCTTCGGCCCGTTGCTGGGCCGCCACCCCGGCCCCGAAGGACGCGCGGGCTTCCAGGGCCAGCCGCTCGAGCTCCAGCCCCCTCTGCATCTCCGCATCCTGCGCTTCCACCAGGGCCTCCGCGACTCGGTCCTCCTCCAGCAGCTGAATAGAGCGGGCTCGCGAGGCTGCGGGCTCACCGGGGGCCCCGCCGCTGGGAGCACCTCCTGCTGCTGAGCAGGGGGCAGGGAGCGGAGCCGTCGATTCATGATGGACCTCCCCGAAGTGGATCCGCCGTCGCCTCCCAGCACCAGGCGACGAGGCGCGGCTAGAAGATGGCCCAAAGAGGCTCAGACAGTGGTCGAAGAGGCCCCCCGAGACGGCCCGAGAGGACCCCAGGAGAGCCCGAAGGCGACCAGGAGAGGCCCCCAAGCCAGCCTCCGAAGGGCAACGCAGCGCAAGCGCCCCAGGACGGCCCAAGACGCCCCCGACGGGCCCGACAGGGCCTGTCGGGTGCCTTTTGCTTGCACTTTCTCCTCGCTTGCATCCCGCGAAGCGAGAAAAACCAATGTAATCGGATCCTGCCGCGCACCCTCGGACATGATGGGCGGGGGCTCGATCGTGTACGTCGAGCACGCGTCGTTGGCGGCGTCGCTGACGATCCGGATCGGCCGCGTCAACAGGAAGGCCGCCGCTGAGAGCGTAAGGTGGTCGCCCCAAGCAGTCCCGGGGACGCGCATGTAGTCTAAGTATGACTGGTAGTTGTCGAACTCGTGGAAGCCTTCAAAAATGCCGGGGAAATCTTCCATTGCGTTCACGATCTGCAGGCGTAGCTCCAAGGCGAACACATCGAGCCCCGACGCGTGCATTATCGCAGCGGACTTGCAGTTGCCGTCCCCGTCAGCGGGCACGCGTTGGAGACCGAGCGCTTGCAGGCGAGGGTCGACTCGATTCTCCAGCATCTGCCGATGCTTCGCAGCCTTGTCCATCTCCGCGAGCGATAAGGCTTTTGCCTTGGCGACCTCGTCGGCTTCCCGCGCGGCGACCCCGTCGGACTCCCGCGCGGCGGCCGCCCTGCGTTCCTTCTCTGCCTTCGCAGTTTGCTCGAGAGCGAACTTCAACCACGCAAACATATCCCCCTTGGCCTTCTCGCCCTGCGCCTCTGTGAAATACCGGGTGCAGAAGTTCCCCTTCCGCCTCTGGCGGCGACATTGGGCCCCGCTCTTCGTGCTCCAAAGACATCGTGCTCCAAAGGCTCCATTTCCACCGTCGCCGGCCACGACGCAGTGCATGTGCGCCGCGAGCCCAGGCTCCGCAGGCGCGCCGGGCAAAGCGGCTGGCTCTTGGAAAACGACATCGGGGGGGGGCAGCGTGGATCGCCTGGTCGACTGGCCCGCCGGGCCCAGCCGGCGGAGGGGGCGCCTGGAGCTTCGTCTTCAGAGCCTCGGACCGCTTCTGCTTGGCCCTGCCGCCGTGCCACTTGGAGCCCTTCGACTTGGACGTCTCGGGCCCGCGGGCCATGCGGGCCAGCCAGTCCCGCTTCTGGAGCCCTTGAATGAAAACCTGGTGTTCAGAGAACCCGCCGCCCTCCACGCTGTGCTCGTGGCAGTCCACCGCCACGCCGCTGGTTGTGACGTAGATCGTCGCGCAGTGGTGGCGCAACCACATGTGTCTCATGATGTCGTATGCTGACGTCTCCTTACTGGCGCATGCAGCGTGGATCTCGGCCGCAGATGTCGCCAGGGATAAGGGCAACGCCGATTGCATATAAGCCGTCTTCTGCGTTGCATACGCCAGCTGGTACTTGGGCGTCGCGTAGACCGCCCGCGCGGTGTCCCTGGCGGGCAGGAGCTTCGAGCACGGTCGAACCCAATGCGCGTGCGTGGCCGGTTTCCCCCTGTAGTGGGCGAGGATGGCGTTCAAGTCGAGGCGGGCGGAATTGCCCTGACTTTGTGTCTCCACAGAAGACCGGCCTTCCGCCGCGCCGCCTGCCTTCTTCTTCGGCCAATTCGTTAGTGCACCAGGCGCCTTCGCCAACCTTCCCACAAGAGAACTGCGTGCCCCGCCTTGGGCGCGGGCCTGCAGTGCCTTCGCAGCGTCCGCAATCAGCTGCGCCACGCCTCCCCGCTTGTAGTTCGCCGGCAGCAAACCTTTGAGTGACCGCCAGGTGCGCTCGATCCGCCGCGCAGCGTGCGCTTCTGCTGAACGTTGGAATGCCTGTTAGATGCGCGGTAGGGCCCGTGTTGGTTGCGCGGTAGGTAACGACGCTCTCGGAGGGCCCCCCCCCCGCTGCAGGGCCAGTCGAAGGGCGACCCCCCCGATGCCGCGGCGCTGCGCTGGCGCGGCGGAGGGGTGGGGGGCGCGCGGGGACGTGCCGCAGGCAACTGGATCGCATTGGGAGCGTACGTGGTGAAGCCCGGCGGCGCCGCGCCAAGGCCAGAGGCCCAGGTGGCGCGGATCGACGGACCTTCCGTGCCCAAAATATGTTTGCGCAAGTACCTCGCCATCGCTGGTTCCCCCCAGTAGTGCCCCCCCTCTGCGGACTCCATGTGCGACAGGATGCTGCCCCAGAAGACGTGGAACTCCAAATCGTCGGGGGCCCGCGCGGAGAAGTCCACCCAATCGATGATTTCTTGAAGTTCTGGGTCTTGGAGGCGCCTGCGGCCTGTGACCTCGTCCTTTTTTCGCAGCTTCAGACCTGATGTCAGTTCTCGTGTGCTGAAGGCATCTGCGAAGGTAGACGCGGTCGCCAACCTCGGCGCAAGCGCCCTTGAAGCAAGCGCAGTCGAGGAATCCGTCGGTGATGGTGATGCCGTGCTTGGCGGCCATCTCGAAGTAGAGGCGCGCGAAGAGGCGCTGGGCGCCCTCGTCCTCCCGGTCGGCGACGATGAATATGACTGGCACAAACCGCATCTGCGGCAAAGAAAACGGATCCTTGACGCGGAGGCCGACGGGGCCACTGGCCCCGAGGACCAATCTCTCTTTGTTCGTACAGAATGTAAAATCCATAAGAAAACTCTCCAGCTTGAGGGCGCCGAAAAGCTGTTCCATGCTTGCCACCGTGAAGGGCGCTCGCACCTTGTCCGGCGAAACGATCCTGTGGTCAGTGAATATGAAGGCGCCTTCGGGAGGCTCGTCCAAGAATTCGTAAACTCCCGATGCACTCGGCCGTGCACTTCGCCTCCTTCGCCTCCCTCTCGTTTTGGGCCTGGCGCCGCTGGCTTTTGATCTGCTGCTCGGAGGGCCTTCCGTCCTGGGGCGCCCCGTCTGCTGTCATGGCTATCAGCGCCTTGGCGTACGAGTCCTTGACGTACTTCTTGGCGTCGCACAGCCGGATGCTTTTTCAAATCCTTCTCGCCCGAACATTCACCTGTGACTTCGATGAGCATTTGCCCGGCTCAGGCTCGGAGAAGGGCCACGCTTTCGAGCACTTCAAGCATCGCCCACAAGGCGCCACGAGGCTCTTGGCCCCGTTCGTCGTCGACGAGCGGAATGTCTGCACATGCATGTTCTCGACGCACGTGGTCGCGGATCCCCGCAAGGTCTCACCTGGGGGCGGTTTTCACAGAAGACGTTGCTCGGGGGGGGGGGGCGGCAAGCCCGCGGACTGTTTTGCAAGAAGCCAAAAAAGGAAATCTTGCGCAAGCGACGGCGTCGAACTGTCCCGTCCAACATCTGCTCGCAGCTCTGGCAGCCCCGCGGGCAACCCCCTCATTTCCCCAGGGCGGGTCCGTTTCAAACCCTCGCCCAACCTGTGAAATCAATCCGTCCAATCTCGGTAAACGGCCGGCGTTTCTGGCCCCTGCTGGGGCTCTGTTGGGGCGCGACCCCGCCGACAGGTGCGATGGGGCCGTCATCCTGCCTGCGCAGCGCCGTGGGGGATTGCGCCGAAAGGCACGGGTCCTCCCCGGGGAGTTGGATGTGGAGCGGTTGCGTTTCAGCAATGAACCCCGCCTCCGCGGCCGCAGCGGCGGCCTCTGCATCTGCAACAATCCGCATCTGCAAGCGCTCTCCTGGGACGGTCGGCCGCCGGTACATTTACACTCCCGCGGCTGGTGGGGTGGCCAAGGCAGACAGCGCCAACCAAACCGAACATGTCGAAGTAAGCCACGCCATGGGCGAACGTCCGGTCACGCAGACAGTTGGTGTGAAAGTGGCAAGTACGAGCAAATCTTGGTATGAAGAAGCGGCTGAGGAATGGAGCCCTCTCGGCAGGCGGTCTAGCGGATTCCGAGCGACGGAAACCGAGCCCCCAGAGGCCACAGAAACCGAGCCCCACAAGCCACATAACCGAACCCCACCAACCACAGAACCGAACCCCACAAACTACGGCGGAAACCGAGCCCCCAGAGGCCACGGAAACCGAGCACCCACGGAAACCGGGCACCCAGCAAAAGGCCACGGAAACCGAGCCCCCAGAGGCCACGGAAACCGAGCCCCGAGAGGCGACGGAAACCGAATCCCCAGCAGAAGCGACGGAAACCGAACCCCCAGCAAAGGCCACGGAAACCGAGCCCCCAGCAAAAGCCACGGAAACCGAACCCCCAACAGAGGCCACGGAAACCGAGCACCCAGCAAAAGCCACGGAAACGAGCCCCCAACAGAGGCCACGGAAACCGAGCACCCAACAAAGGCCACCGAAACGGAGCCCCCAACAGAGGCCACGGAAACGGAGCCCCCAGAAGCAATGGAAACCTAACCCCCCGAGATCACGGAACCGAGCCCCCCGAGCCCCCCGAGGCCACGGAAACCGAGCCCCCAGCAAAAGCGACGGAAACCGAGCCCCCAGCAGAAGCGACGGAAACCGAGCCCCCATCAAAGGCAACGGAAACCGAGCCCCCAGCAGAGGCCACGGAAACCGAGCCCACAACAGAGGCCACGGAAACCGAGCCCCCAGCAGAGGCCACGGAAACCGAGCCCCCAGCAGAGGCCACGGAAACCGAGCACCCAGCAGAGGCCACGGAAACCGAGCCCCCAGCAGAGGCCACGGAAACCGAGCCCCCAGCAGAGGCCACGGAAACCGAACCCCCAGAGGCCACGGAAACCGAGCCCCAATGTGCCACGGAAACCGAACCCCCAGAGGCCACCGAAACCGAACCCCCAGAGGCCACGGAAACCAAGCCCCCAGAGGCCACGGAAACCGAGCCCCCAGAGGCCACGGCCCCCAAAAGCCACGAAAACATAACCACGGAAACGACACGGAAACGGAACCACGGAAAGAAACACCACAGGCCACGGAAACAAAACCCCACAGAGCGGTAGCGCAGAGTAGCTTAGGGCGCCGATGGATTGAAATCGCGATTCAAAACGCCGCCGCGGTGGGCAAGCGGGGGGCGCCGATGGATTGAAATCGCGATTCAAAACGCCGCCGCGGTGGGCAAGCGGGGGGCGCCGATGGATTGAACTCGCGATTCAAAACGCCGCCGCGATGGGCAAGCGGGGGGCGCCGATGGATTGAAATCGCGCTTCAAAACGCCGCCGCGGTGGGTAAGTTGGGAAGTGCGAAAAGAAGATTTAAACCTTACAATGTAGTCTGTGTATAAAGATGGAAATCACGATTTCATTCTTTGTACTTTGGAAGACGAAGGAAGAAGTTGAAACTCGCGATTTAAATCTTTAGAAATCGTGATTCCAATCGTTTTCGTCCGAGACGGCCCAAGACGACTCCAAGAGGGCCCCTGCCAGTCCCGGATGAGCTCCAATATGGCTCAAGATAGCGCACGATGCCTCAAGATGGCTCCAACCATCAAGGAAAATCAATGATGTTTGCGTTCTTGCCTTTCCGCTTCCAGTGGCCATCCGAGGCTTAAGGATGGCTCCAAGATGGTCCAAGAGAGCCCCAGACAGGCCCAAAGGAGCTCCAAGATGGCCCCAAGAGCGCCCGAGAGCGCTCCAAGAAGGGTCCAGGAGGCGATTCTCGGTGCTGCCGAGGGAGGAGGCTTATTGAAGCCCACCTTTTTTTGATCGATGTCCAAGACGGCCCCAAGTTCGCCCCTGAAGCTCTCAAGAGCGCCTCAAGAGGCACCCAGACGGCCCCGAGAGACCTCTCAGAGGCTCCCAATAGATTCCAAAGCGAGGCCTCAAGAGGATCCCCGAGGTACGCCAATATAAATCGAGTCGGAAATGTGCAAACCCCAGCCTCCCGTAAAATTGTTATTGAGTATTCGATCTGCTTAACACCAGATATTTAAAGCGAAATCCGCCGATCCCACGCACCCGCAGAATTCTTTCATATCCTATTTGTTAACCAACGAGAGTTCAATAGGACACGCACTGATTCTAACCTCCCGCATGTTATCTCATATCTTGAAATGTTGAATGCCCGATTCGGTTGTCAATCGGAATTCAATCGGAAATACGCCGATCCCCCCCCCCGCAGAATTCTTTCAGATTCTAGTGTGTGCGTGCCAAGTGGAAATCAATTAGCAATGCGCCGATCCCAGACACCTGCAGAACTCATTCATAGTCGATGCTGCTTCCAACTGGAATTCAATCGGAAATGCGCCGACCCCAGCCTCCTGTAGAATCCTGGAATATTAGATTTGCTTTACAATTGGAATTCAAAACGAAATGCGCCGATCCCAACTCCCCACGCATAATCCTTCAAAAACATTTCTTAAATAAACGGGAGTTCAATAGAAGATGTACTGATTTTAGCCCCCCGCTGAATTATCTAATATCTTGAATTGTTGAATGCCCGATGTGCTTTTCACTCGGAATTCGGGGATCTTCTGACCCAGGTCAATCCAGACCTGGGTCAACAGAAAACCAACAACTGAAATGCAAGGAACAAAAACTGCCACGCAGGTCTTCGCAAACCCTGGTCAGCCAATATGCGGGGCCGCCTCGCGGCTACGATCGGCTCGCTAACCCCGGTCAGCCAGAGGCTTCGCAAGATTCTGCAGGATCTGGTGCCCTGGCTGACCCCCGTTTGCATTGGCCCCCGTCTCTTGAGCCCCGAAGGATTCAATCGAAAATGCTGGTCCCAACCTCCGACACACTTTTCTAATATTATATATGCTTTCAAAACGAAATAAATAGGAAATGCTCCGATCCCAACCACCCGCAGAAATCTTGGATCTTCTATGTTGTAGTGATCCGGCATTCAATAAAGAATGCCGATCCCAGCCTCCCGCAATATCATTTAATATCTTATGTGCTCCCCAACAAAAATTCATTAGGAAGTGCCCCGATCTCTGCATCCCCCCAATTTGTTGAATTCCCCTTTAAAAGTGCAAGCGGAATTCATTAGAAACTGCGCATGGTTGGGGGTAGTCGGCCTGGAACCCAAAATAATGGAAACAGCATTGAACATCCAATGAAATCCAACCAAATCGAATAAATCATTGTGAGGGTTTCAAAGGGAACAATCTGCAAATTTAGTCGGGCTGGGAATCTAGAACCATGCGAAATCCAGTGAAGAACCACAACAATCATGCAAACGTCACATTAATTCTTATGAGGGCTGACAAAAAAACAAACTGCAATCATTACATGACTTAGTCGGCGTGGGAATCGTCGGCTTGTGACACCAGAACATAGCCGACTAACCGTTGTTATGATGAATTGTTTTTGGAGCCCTGACACGGTTTTTGTGTTATCGTATTCTGAGTTCTTCAACGGTTTTCCACTGAGTTTCGATTCCCAAGGCGACGACCCCCACACAGACTAAATTTGGAAATGCTTCTTTGTTGGTCTCTTCGGCCCCTCACAAGCACTAACTGGAGGTGTTAGCATTTTCGGTTTGTCCAAATAGTTTGGATTCCTAGCCTCACCAAGAGTGTTATCCTCCTGCTCCTCCTCCTCCTCCTCCTACTCATGGGAGTTCTCACAACGACTGCGGTGAATCGGCACGGCAGGACAGCAAGAGCAAACGTCAAATCAAGAGCAAACAGACAACACCACGCATCACGCACAGATAAATACTGCAATGCAATGCAACAAAAAACAGGCTACCAAATATCCTCTCAACTGCTGCTTCTACTGCTGATGCTGCTGCTGCTGCTACAGCTACTACTCCTGCTACGAGCTACTTCGCGCCAGCGATCAACTTCCAAGCAAAGCTCGGCACTGGGCAACTCGGCACAAGAAAGCTAAGCGATCCAGCTTGGGGTCGGCCCCGCCGGTGGCCCACCGGGGCCCACAGATCCTACGAGAGGACCGCACGACTCCTGCCCTTGTTGCACCTCCTCCTCGCCCTCCTTCCTCCTCCTCCTCCTTCTCCTCCTCCTCCTCTCCTCCTTTTGGCCTTTCCCGCTCCCATCCCTCGACCTCGAGCTCTTCGACCTCCTAGTCGTCCTCCATACTCCTGCCTACCTCCTCACCCTCCTAGCCCTGCTGCAGCTGCTGCTGCTCGTCAGCCTCCTCCAACTACTCGCGCTGCTACTGCTACTGCTGTTTTGCTGCTGCTGCTGCTGCTGCTGCTGCTGCTGCTGCTGCTGGTCGTCATCGGTGTCTTTCCTGGCCTCGCGCTTCTCCTCCGCAGGGGAGGGGGGAGGTCCCTGATAATTTCAACAGAACTGCTGCCACCGCTGCAGATACGCGATCAGGCCTACCCGCTACCCTAGACAGGGCGGGTGAGACGGGGCGCGGGAGGAGAGGGTGGGGGGAAGGACCCATATCGCCGACGTCGTGACTTTTGAGGGTGTGGTTCCTCCGGGGGTGGGAGCGGGGGATGATGGCGGGGGGGGGAGAATCTATCCCCGACGGCATGATTTCCTCAGTGTGGTCCCTCCCAGGGAAAGAAGGGGAGAGGGGGGGAGAAGGGCCCACGCACCTGACAACGTGAATTGTTCACGGCATGGTCCACCCCAGGGAGGGAGGGGGAGAGGAAGGAGGGGGAGCAAGATGGACCCAACCCCCGACGTCGCAATCTGTGCACAACGTGGTCCCTCCCGGGGAGGGCGCGGGGGAGCGGGGATGACGGGGGGAGGAAGGAAGACCCAGACCTTTGACGTCGCTCTTCGTTTTGCAACGTGGCCCCTCCCCCAGAGGCCGAGATCGGCCAAGTATTTTTTTCCGCGGCGCCAGAAGGTCTGGCTTTCGGGTCGTAGCTGACTCTGGTCTCCAGCGGGCGTTCGGGACTGGAAATCGTCCCGAGGCAGCACAACCACGTGGAACTGGCGAACGCGTCCGAAAACCTCGAACCTCGACGCGGGAGAAAGGGGAATCCAGTCGGACCCAAGACACCATAATATCCTTCGAGAACACGAGACCCTCCGCCGGCCAAAGTACACAACACATCCAAGTCTCCCCAGGATGCACCCGAAAATCCAACACATACACACAAAGAACATGAGGGTAGCCTCCGCGAACCGACCTCGATCTTACACCTCGGTCCGACTGTAGGATGAGAAAGAACTGCGTGAACATAAAATTTTCGGAGCTCCGCGCGGACTTCTTGGATCTGCCCTGGACCCTCCCTGGCGCGCGGAGTGCGCTGGAGGGGCGGCGCCGCCAAAGGCGGCCCATAATCGATCTAAGGAAACCGCGCGGAACTCCGAAACACTTATGCTTATGCAGTCTCTTCGAGGAAGCCCCGCACTTCGAATCGAGGACCTCGCCCCTGCAAGCTCCGGCGCACTGGCTGGCCCTCGTTTGCATTGGCGTTGACACCCGTCTCTACCAGCTCGACTCCGACCCAGCGGCGCCTCTCCGAAGACCGCGCGCAGCCCGCCGATGGCCTTGGCCTTGCCCAGGGCCACCTGGCCGCCGCATGCGACGCGCGCGCGCTGGGCGCAGGCGCACGCGCCGACGTTTGACGTCGACAACGTCGACGACGCCGATGACGTCGACGACGGCCTCGTCAACGACGTAGATGCTGCTGCTGATGGTGAGGATGAGGACGAGGATGAGGGCGAGGATGAGGATGATAGTGGAGACGAGGAGAGGGATGAGGATGATAAAGATTATGCTTATAATAATGATGATGATGCTGATTAGATGCTTATGATGACCATGCTATTGGTGATGGCGATGGTGATGATCCCGCAGCTGCGAGAGTTCGTAATAACAGCATAAATGATGATGCTGATGGAGACGATGAGGATAATGCTGATTATTATGATGGTGAGAAGGAGGATGATAAAAGACGGTGCTGAGAATGATGATGGTGATGATGGCGATTCTGATCCTTAGCGATCTTTTGTCCGCAAACGACTGGAAGAGACGGAGCACACGCAGGATCCTGCCGTCGGGGCCGCCGCCAAGCACGGGCACGCTCAAGTCTCGAGGGGCGAACTCGCCCCGAAAACAAAATCAGCAGAGATGCTCCCGATCTTAATCAGCACACTGGCAACGCCGAAAAAAAGGATCCCCACAAACCCAAAACTTTCCGAAACACTTCAACGGAAGCTCTGGCTTCAACAGTGTGCAAGAGACTGCGATAGCCACACAAAATTCACGTGGATACTCGGCCCCTTGCTTGGTTTTGAACCCGGCCCGGGGGTGGGGCCGGTTCGTGCGATAACAAGTCCCTCGCCTGGAGCCTATGCACCGAGAGTCCCGACGCGGTCCTGGATCGGGGTCTCCAAACATAAGCCCAATATCTTTCCTCCAGGGCGCTCCCCATTGGCACATGGAGATAATGTGGAAGGTAACGGCGCGACGGCGCGACAAAGCTTTAAAGCGGGAAAGTAACCATAGTCTGGGCGTCTTCGGGTTCTCAACGCTCCAGGCGATTCACATGGACAAACGAATGCGCGCAACTGTGGCGACAACGCTGCTCAGAGTATTGGACACATCAACAATCGCCTGCGAATCAGGTTTGCTGGGAAAGCCACGGAGGTGGATATCAGAGCGAACAGGCGGCGCGCCGACCCCATGGCCGCGGCGCCGACCGAGGGCATTGCACGGAACGCCAACATGCCAACCTCTGATACGACCCGACCGAGCCCACGACAGAATGAGCGAGCAATTCCATTGGCGCGAGAGACCATACTTATCGCCAAGCGTGGCATCCCGAATCAGCACGGGCATGCCCAACTGAGGAGCAGCTTTGGGAAAAAACAACCGAGCCCGAGAATAGATCGAGAGTTGCTGGCGGGTCGGGCAGACTGGCAGGACAGGCGCGGGCAGGCCGTGGCGCGACTGGCTCAGGCTCAGGGCGCAGGCCTCGGCGTGGCGGCGCTGCGTGACGGGCAGCTTGTGCAGCTGCTCGGTCAGCCGCCCTCCTTTCTCGCACCTCTGCACGGAACTCCGCGACTTCCAGCGGCAACGGCGGCGGATCCGCTCGAGGTCGCGCAGGGCCGCCGCGTCGTCGTGGCTGGGCCCCGAATGGCGAAGCTGGTAGACGTGGCAGGCCCCGAGCTTGGCCAGCCCCAGGGCGCGCGCCGCCTGGCGCCGCGCGTCCGCCACCGCGCGCTGGGTCATGGCGAAGAGCGGCGCCGTGGCAGGGGCGCCCCCTCGGCGGCGCGCCGCCGCTATCGCCAGCAAGCCAGCTGCCGGCCGCGTCTGCCTCTCGAGGTCCAGCTGCGCCGGGGCGTCGCGCTCGCCTGTCTTCGAGACGGCGCCGACCTTCTGGGCATGGGGGGCATGGGGCGTCGCCGAGACGAAGCGGCGCGCGCCCGACGCCACCGCTGTCGGCGACCCGACGTCCCGTAGTCGTAGACCGTGGATCTCTCCGGGGCGGCCGTAGATCTCGAAGAGGTGCCAGATCGCGAGGGCTGCCGGGGTGCTGCGCTGATGGGACAGATAGTTCACCACCATGGCGACGACCTCGTAGGGCAGGGCCATGCGACTGCGAGGCGGCGCAAGGTTGCGCCGCCCTCTGGCCGCCTGCTTCGCCGGGGGGCAGTCGAAGGGGCGGCCCGTCTGGGCGAAGCGCGGGCCCCGCCGCGCCACTGTCGCCATCGTGCGGTTGACGTAGGTATGGTGGTAACCCTGGTCGAAGAGGTGACTGATGTAGTCGCGCACGGGCCTGTCTAGCAGCGTCGGCTCCACGACCGAGAGACGGCGCTGGCTCGCCCGGGTGTCGAAGCGAATTCGGCATGCTGACGTAGGCCTGGCGGCCAGCCTGGGTCCTCGCCGACGCCGCGTCGAGCACGGGCATCCCCGCGGGCGGCTCGATCAGCCGCGCTCGCTGCCGCGGGGTCGGCTGCGAGATCGAGCCCCGGCGGCCCCCGGGCGAGGCCCGGAGGCCCGACGAGGGCGCCGTGTCCGAGCCGGGGTCGCGAGCAGAGCGACCCAGCGCAGGCGCCGCCACTCTCTCACTCCAGGCAGCCGAGGGCCGCTTGCGAAGATTGCCCTGGGGGAACTCAGAGCTCATGGCCGGCGGCAGCGTTGCGACTGCGAAGAGGAAGGCGATCGCCAACATATGGACCTAGATGCAACAATCTCGGGCCATGAAGCAACTGAGGATCTGGTGAGGCGCTGGTTCCCAAGACTCCCCCGTGCCGCTCGACCTCTGAGCCGCAGCGCGGTAAGTGCTCGCCCCTCCAATGCGCCGGCGTGAAAGTGACTGGCTCTTGTGCATAATGAAGTGCACCCCCCCTCCGTGCGGCTCATGATCGTGCTCTGCGCCGTGCTCGCCACCTCCTCCTCCCCGTGCAGCTGGTGCCCTATGTTCCCGCGCGCGCGTGATCTGGTCTTCCTGTGAGGGCTTCTGGATGGGCCCGTGCGCAATGGAATTGACGGGGTCTTCCTCTTGGACTATCGGAGACGGCTGGCTGGGGCCCCTTCGGCCTCTATCAGGGCCGTCAGCTACGTTGTGCTCGGAAAGGGGCCCAGCGAATGCAGATCTAGCTTCCCGACGCCAAAGAGAGGGCACCAGTGCGACGCATGATGCCCAACGTGGCATGACTGCGGGCTCGCGCCCCCGAAGCAACGGAAACCGACGCGAGTGAATCTCCCGAGGCGACCAACCTCTTCCCATGGTGCCGACGCGCCCGCAGAGCATGCCGCACACGGTAAAGAACCGCGCGAGCCTCAAGGACAGGCATTCCCTCAATGTGATCCCACTTGCGACGTCCTGTGATGCGCCGCTGAGACTTTTCCAAGCGCTTCTTCGGCACCTCCGGGAAACCGAGCAAGTCCCGCTCGACAGGCGGACCGACGGGCCGGCTGTCGTCTGACTGACAGCCGGGAACGAGCTGGACCACATCGATCCCCAAGCCGCACGAAGCGGTCCCGTCGACTGCGCACTTAGCGGCAAGGGCTCGGCGACGAGGAGGCAAGCGCTCAGCCCTGCCACGGCGCCGCCTCTCACTATGACAACCGACCCCCCGAACGGCGGCCTCTTCCTACTTGGCGTCGCAGGCGCCCAAACCTCATGGGGGGGCGCCCGCGCGGCCGACGCAAGGGGGCCACTGAGCACGGAGATCGCGCCGCAATAAAGGGGAGACGCAATCCCAGGCCATGAGTTCCTTCCCAGGCCATGAGCCATGAGTTCCTGCCTAACCTGGTAGCACTTCTGGAAAAAGCGGAAGCGGGCTCGAAGGTGCTGAGGCCCTCTCGGCAAGCGAGCGTCGCGAAGATGACGCGCCCCAGCGCCCGCTCGACGTCGCGGCCACTGGAACGGCCGCGTCGCAGCAGCCCGCGCGCGGCCAGCCGCGCGCGCCACAGCCGCGCGCGCCACAGCCGCGCAGCGGGCGCGGAGAGGCGGCCCGCCGAGGTGATGGGCCACCCCAGCACCGCGTGCTCGCCCTCGTTGTCGCCGAGGCGCGCCTCGTAGGTCGCGACGAACCCTCGTCGCCTCAGCTCCGCCATGACGCGGGTCACAGCACTGCGCGCCGCGTCTGCGTCGTAGCCGATGCTGGCAAAGATGTCGACGCACTCCAGGTGGCGGGTAGGGCCCAGCGGCGGCGCCGGGCGACCATCGCGGAGACGGGCGCCGTCATTGCACCCAGCAGCCTCAGCTGCGCGCTCCACCACGAACTGGCGCCACCGCGTGGCCCAAGAACAGCCCATGGGCACCGCCCACAGGCGCGGGTAGAGCCTGGCGGAGGCCTTCGCGCCAGCACCTCCAAGGTGCGCGATGCCATGGGCGCCTGCGCGGACGGGCCTGAGGGCGAAGAAAAAGCGCAGATGCCCAGGCTGCTCCGGGTGGGGGAAGGCGCGCTTCAGGTCGGCGCCCTCGGCGGCGAACAGAGTTTCATCGGCCATCTCCGGCGCGCCGAAGGCGTCGCCCATGGCCGGGCGCGCTCCGAGGGGCTCGGTGAGCGCTTCGTTGGAACGGCGGCGCTCCGCGACCACGCGGAACCCGACACCTTTTTTCATGGCGAAAAAGATCTCGGCCCTCGCGCCACAATCCAAGTGGAAGCCGACAAGGTGCCGCTGACGCAGCAAAAGCTCGGAGAAGAGGGTCAGAACGTGGATCAGGCGCTGAGCTATGCTGGAGACGCGCGGCAGCCTCGCGCGGATCAAGCACGCTCTGCAGAACGAGCTGTCCGACCTCGGCTTGCCCGCCCCCCCCCCGCACTTTCGCCGGGGGGCGCGTGCGCCGAGCTGACATCGGGCAAGGAGAGGAGCGCGGGGTCGTAGCCCCCGATGGGGCGACTGCTCGACATGGCAGGCGCCCCCGGCCACGCGAAGCCGCGCAAGCGCTGCTGCGGGGGAAAGTGCCGAGGGTGGAAGGCCAAGATACCGCGCTGACCGAGCGCGGCACTTGCTCTGGGCGAGTGACGGGCCCGCATGCCTTGCAGCTCGGTCACGACCACATGTAAGATGGATCATGAAGCCGCTTCAGTGAGTCCGCGGCACGAAGCACATCGTTGCCGACAGCCCTCCTCTGACCAAGCCTCCACCTGGTGCCCCTGGCGAGCGCGGGAGCAACGGCCCTTTCCAGCGGCTCCACGGCGAGCGGGTAGGGCAGCGGCAAGATGTCCCGGGCCCGACGTCTTCCCAAATCGTGCGCGTCTTGAGCATGGGCAGGTTCGCGACGGATGCCCTGGTGGAAGGGGCGATGTATCCGCGATGGCCCCCCCTCCAAGGCCAGCGCGGGTGCCGGGTTCAGACGTTCTTGCGCCCGGGCTCCAGCTCCTCGCGGGCCAGGCGCACGCTCTCGTGCAGCTCGGCCTCCTTCTCGACGTCGCCGCGGACGCGCTCGATCAGATCGGGCGACGCCATCGCCGAAGACGTCGACCGACACACACCCCCGAGAAAACCGCCTGCTCCTCCAGACTCATCTTGCCTCCAACGCCTTTGCTTTCGGCGTCCTTGGCCTTGTCCCAGTGCGCAAACTCTATGGTCTGGAGCCTCCTGAACTTCATCTCGATGCTGATCAAATTCGTGCCATCCAGGAGGTCGTGAGTGACATGTCGCGGCCTTGCGCAGCTGGCACAACTGCATGGTCGTGCTCCTGGGCCCCCCAATCTGTGGCACCCAAATTACATATTTGTCGGAAGTGCTCGAGGCGGCCCTCTATGCCGAGACCTTCCCGCTGAAAGTAACTCATGCACCACGCAGCGGTCCTCGGCCCAGGCAACGTTCAGTCCGATCCGAATTTTTTCTGACGTGTCATCTCGATCATCTTGTGCTAAGGGACGTCCCTGCGGCCCTGGGCGTCGCACGCGATGGGCATGATTCTCGCGTCGGCATCCACCGCTTCCCCGAGGAACCCCATCCAACGCCACGGGCGGCGCCAACTCCACGAACAGACCCTGGCCGTCGGGCGAGACATGGATGTCGCGGCCCTGCACGCGGCCAGCGGTGGGGACGTGGCCCGGGACCCCGTCGCCGATGCGATAGCCACCCTCGCAGGCAGCAGCCCGCCACGCACCAGTAGGATCAGCTCCGCCCGCCGTCACGACCGCCGGCACCGCGCCACGCAACAACCCGAACGCTGGGCCGGCAGGCGCCACAGGGGCCGCGGCCACGCCACCTCCTGGAACCACCAGCGCGCGTAGGTTGGCCAGCAGCCCGAGGTTGCCGACAGCCTGAGCGCGAACACGGCACCCCGCGACGGCGATCTGCTCCGCCTCTGCGGTGAGCTGGGCCAGCTCGGCGTCTGTCGGCTCCGCCCGGAACCGATACACGTGGTTGGGCGCTATGCCCGGCGGCGGCAGGTCGAAGGCTCCGAAGCGCGTCGCCAGCACATCCGCATTGCTGGCAATGGCCACGATACACAGGTCGCCATCTGCGGTGTAGATGACATGATCAGCCTCTGACAATGCCACCCGCCCCAGATTGAAGTGTTGGTGGCAAACCACCGCGCCAGCGTAGAAGACGTATGTCTACCGTGTCGTCGCCGCCGCAGCCATCACCGAGACCAGCCAGGCTACGGCTGCGAGGGCGACCGTCGCGGCCGGCGCACTGCCGCGCAGCAGCAACCAAGGCAGGCCGCCGCGAGCAGGAAACCGAGAGCGCCGCCCAGCAGGCCCGAGGCCAGCGCGCGGTAGTCGAGCACGACGTCGCCCGTCATCGCCGCAGCCGCCGCGGGGGCCGCTGCCTCGGGCGACGAAGCCGCCGCTGCGGGCTCTGGCGCCGCGCATGCGGCGCACGCCGGACAAAACGGGCGCTGGGCAAGGGGCAGGCAATGGGCACGCCGCGGGCCCCACCTCCGCGCACGGAAGGATGGCAGGGCACTGCACCGAACACCCAGGACACGGCGCGGGAGCCCAGCACGCGAGGGAGCAGGTGGGGCACGACGGACACGATGTCGCCTGCGGGCACCTGATGAGGTACGGTACCACCCGTCAGAGCGTGGTCAGTGAGCCTCTCCCACATCACTCAAGACTTGAACGGCATCAAACGGCGGCGGACCGCAAGAAGGCATCGGAAACCCATGAAATCACGACAATGGTGTTGTTGCTGTTGTTAGTGATGATGATGATGATGATGATGATGATGATGATGCTGATGCTGATGCTGATGATGATGATGATGATGATGATGATGATGATGATGATGATGTTGATGCTGATGCTGATGCTGCTGCTGATGCTGATGTTGTTGCTGCTGATGATGGTGATGGTGACGGTGATGGTGGTGGTGGTGGTGATGATGATGCTGATGATGCTGATGATGCTGATGCTGATGCTGATGCTGATGATGATGATGATGATGATGATGATGATGATGATGATGGTGACGATGTCGACACCGATCTCGACGACGTGGTCGACGACGTCAACTGTGGCAAGCGAGGTTCGAGAATCGAAGATTGCCCTGGTCCCGCTCTAGAAACCCCGAATCTAAAAAGGCAGAGCATCTCTTGGGGGCATTGTTTACTTCCGCTGGCTTCCACTGGCGGAGCCAGCTCCGTTTTACTTCCGCTGGCTTCCGCCGAGGAAGAGATGCCGACTTCCTCGCAGACGTAGCCTCTCTCTGGAGCGCACCACGCGACCTCGTGATTCGCTCTGCCCTCTGGCAGGGCAACTTGGGCGCCGGTTCGCTCCTGTCCGCAGCCGCGGCGAGTCGTACATGTTGGATGGAACGGCACCCAGAACCACGCTCACATGCGACGAACGGTTCTAGACACGGAACCAGATCGGGGTACGGCTTTAATAACGGAGGCCTCCCAAACTGGGTCCGAACACATTGGGCAGGAGGATCGCGTCGATTGAGATCCGTGCCCATCGATTTCCGTTCGAACCCTGCCCGATTCCTGCCCGTGGTTGAGGAGGGAGAAGTGAGCAGAGAAGGGAAGGAAACACAATTGCATCATCTGCTGTCCCGGCTGCGCGGCCGACGCGCGGGCAGCAAAAACCCGCAAAGGCGCGCAGTGTGCTCCGAATGCGAGTTGAGCGTGCGACTGCGGGGGGAGAGGAGGAGGAGGAGGAGGATGGAGACGGGCAACGGCATCGGCAGCCGCGCATGGCAGCCGCGCGTGATAGCGCCGCATCGGCGATGCATCGGCGACGTCGGCGGTGTATCGGCGCCGTCAGCGTTGATAAAATCGGGATCCACATCGAGCCACGTCGCCGATGCATCGGCGATGCGGCGCGATCCTGTCACCCCATCTGCTCGGATTCCATTTAGGAGGCCTGGGCACGTTGCGACCTGCAAGTTGTTCCTACAACGTCGTGCCGCTTCATGATCAGCCAACTCGCAAGCGTGACCCTAATGTGTAGCTCAGCAACTCGGTGACTCGAATAATTCTCTAAACAAAAATGCGCACGCTCCGTGCCGTGGATGTGTCCGCAATGCTCGTGGGACGGAGAGGACTGATGGGTGGCGTGCGGACGAGGACGCTCGGCTACACGCAAGAGTGACCGGGGACCGTGGGTAGGCGTGACCCTGGGGGCGCGTTTTTTTTTGCATGGCCGCTGGGGGACAAAACGCCAGCGCACAAGACGCCACTATCATACCGCACTCGGCGATCGGGGGGGCCCCAGTGGGCGCGCATTAAAGGCCACTCCAGCGAAGGGTCACGCTTACGTTTTGGACGCCCGACATGGGTACCGAAAAAATGGGTACGATGCCCAACAACAAATGTTGTCCCAAACCAACAGCGGCCGCTGTTGGGCAGGCGGCCTTCTGCCTCAAATGTACACAGGCCGCGGCGACGCCGACAGCGAGTCCTGTTCAAAATGAACAGGAACCGCTGTTGGGCATTTTGCCCATTCTTTCCGTACCCATCTCCTTCGTGCAGATACGTGCACGCAGCCGAGGCGTTGAGGCTGACCGACGGCCGCGAGAAGATCGCCCTGGCCCGGCCCACGGGCCGCCTCTTGGAAGCAGATCTTGTGCGCCTTCTGGATCTCCTGGTTGCAGATCTCCTGGGGGCCCGCGCGCCGGCCGCAGGGCACTCACGCGTGCGGGCGACGGCCAGCTCCTCCTCCTCCTTCTCCTCCTCCTCCTCCTCCTGCTCCTCCTCCTGCTCCTCCTCCTCCTCCTCCTCCTGATCCTCCTCCTCCTCCTGCTCCTCCTGCGGCTACAGCCGGACCTGTGACAGAAGAACACCCTTCAAGAACACGAGACCCTCCGCCGGCCAAAACACACAGAACATCCAAGGGCACCCTCCCTAGGATGCACAAGAGCCGACCTCGATCTCACACCTCGGTCCGACTGTGCCGGCGGCGCTCTCGAGCCTCCGAGGGGCGCGGCCATCAGGACCCCCTCCCCGCCCGGCAGACCTCGGACGGACGGCTGGTCTTCGCCCTGGGGAGAGCCGCGGAAGTCCGGACCCCTTTTGCTGAGAGCATGGCGCCCCCTGGGGCCCAGAAGCAGCTTCCAGAAGGGCCGCCAGTGGCGAGAGACCTTCTGCCACTTTTTGTCCAAGACATTCGAAGTATCGGTCCTCCGCCTGACTCTCTGGTCAGAGCCCGCTCTTAACCGAAGCTCCATCCTGGCAATCTGTTCCATCCTGGATCGGCTTGTGACGGTCCCGGGCCCGAAGCGGACATCCAGAGGCCGAAATCTAGGGAACACTTCTGGCAAGACGTTTCAAAACCTAATCCACTTCGTTTTCCTCCTCTTCCTTCTCTCCTGCTCTCCTCCTCATCCGCTCCTTTTCCTAATGAATCCGCGGGCACCCTTGCGGGGCCATCAGGCTCCACGGCTTAGGCTTGCTGCTCCCTGCTCCAATTCCAGATTCCAGTCTCCGATGTTACGATTGTGTGTTCTGCTTGCTGCTGTGAATTCTTGGAGTCCTCGCGAGGGCAGGGGAGCCGAAAAGAGCCCTAGCTACCTTCACCTCGGGAGGTTCTCAGAATTTCTGGTGGGTCTTGGGTCCTGGGGCACGAAAGAATATGCATGCAATACAAACGCCTTCGAAACCATACCCCCTTCTCAATTATGCCATAGTCGTACCCCCAAGGCCGGAATCCCTTGTAGATTACGCAATGTTCGCGACACCGAGGCCATAAACGCTGGCAGTTTACGCTGTGCTCGCGCTCCCGAAACCATACTTCCTCGTTGATTGTACCATATTCGCGTCTCCTCGTGAAATTACACGATGCGTGCGCTCCCGAAGCCACGATCGCTTGCAAATGACGCATTATTCGCGTCCCCGAAAGCACAAACCCTCGTAAAGTATGCAGTCTTCGCGCTTTCGGGGCAACAGTCCTTCATTAAAAAAAAGCCCCCAAGACGGTAGAAGAGGCCTCCGAAACGGCCCAAGAATGCTCCAAGGCGCCCCAGATGGTCCCAAGACGGCCCAAGAGGGTCCCAAGAGGCCTCCAAGAGCTCTGCAAGAGCACCCCCTAGAGGGGCCCAAGAAGGCAACTTCTGCAATTGTCCGTCGGTACTTGATGGATTTTGGCACACTCGCCTTTTCGGGCTTCCGACGCTCCAAGACGGCCCAAGAGGCCCCCCAGGACCGCCCCAAGAGGCTCTCAAGAGCGCCCCAAGACGGTTCAAGAGGGCCCCAAGAAGGCTCACGAGACCCCCAAGACGGCCAAAGAGGGCCCCAAAGATCGTGGGACACCTGCTCTGCACGCGCCCGTCTTCACTCTCCTCACCCCATCCACCTTCTTGGCACTATATGGCTCCAACAGAAGAGCATCAGCCACAACAAATTGCTTTCAAGACCGCTCAACACATCCGAACATGACTCCATATAACCTCCGACTGACCTCCCGGAAATGTCAAGACGGCTTCTAGCCGAGCATGTGACTCTAAGAGGCTTCAAGATAATCTCAACTGAATTCTGCACGGCCTGGTGAGGATCATCGTAACGTCACTAAGTTTCCACTCAGGATCCGTTTTGAAGGCCCCCCGAACTCAAAACACTCACCAAATCTAAACACATCTCACGAAAGTAGACTGAACACGAAGATGAACGATAATAAATGCGCTGAACCTGTCCCGGTAGCATCCGAAGCACCGCCCAATCGCTGTCCCGGGGGAGGCCCAAAAGGAAGAACGCTCGGCAACCATGCGAGCCTTACGCAACCATCAGATCCAAGGGTGCATTGGCAATGTCTCAAAGCGTTCCCCGCCTGGAGCCCTGCAAGGCACCTGGATATCTCAAGTGGCCCCCGTTTGGAGCTTCGACGCCGCTTCGCGACGGAGCCCACGCCTCAAAACAGAACTCTTGCATGCTCCATTATCCAGAGGAGGGGGCTGGCGGCAGGGGGCGAAGCCCTCACGGATGAACTCCGCCCTGTCGCACTCAGGGGCTGGTCGAAAGAGCGGCTGGGCGTTTCGCCTGAGACATCCTGACCGCTCATGATCCTGAAGCTTGGAACTTGCAGCACCTTCACGGACGGAGGGCGGGCCGCTGTCAAAATGTGGCTCACGCTTTAGCGTCGCGACTTCTCGTGTTAAACAGCTGCAGATGTTTAACGGATGGAGGGCGGGTCGTTTCAACATGTGGTTCTCGCCTTAGCGCCGCGCAAATCCGTTCAAAAAACTGCAAGGTTTTCGCGGATGGAGGGCGAGCCGTTTTCAAAATGCGGCTCTGTCTTTAGCGACGCGCAAACTGGCTTACACGAGTTGCAAGCGTTTCACTAGTGGAAAGCTGTTATTGTTCGACATGTTGCTCTCGCATTAGCGCCGCGCGTACTAGCACATGCGCAAGAGCTTCACGGATGGACGGCGTTTCTTTTTCAAACTGTAGCTCTCGCCTCAGCGCTGCGCACATTCGTTGTAAAATCTTGACGTGCTCAAGGGATATCAGGACTAACGTCACAGAACCTGTGCTTTGGCACGATGTCGGACTTTCAGGGCGCAACAGCTGCGTTGATTCCCGGTGGTCGAATTCCAGGAATGATTTTCTGGCACGGTCCAGGATCGCCACGACGCAGCAGTTACGGCGATTCGCGGCGTTGAAGTCACAAGGAAGCGTGTTCTGGCACAGCTCAGGGTGTTCAACCAGACGGTTGTCTTTCAGCGGGGCATTTCCCTCGGTGAACGCGAGTCCTAAGAGGGGGCCTATGGAAAGGGAGCCTGGAAGAAGGGTTGATTGATGCAATTTTTGGTCCATGAATCCTGGGTTTACACCGGCCCTCCTCCTCCAACGAAGGATTGCAACAAAACGAAGGATTGCAACAAAAACCAAGGATCGCAACAAAAGCGAAGGATTGCAACAAAAACCCCTTGGCTTCTGTTGGAAGCCTTTGTTGCAATCCTTGGTTTTTGCTGCAATCCTTTGTTGCAATCCTTCGTTGGAGCTTGGAAGGAAGGTTGATTGCAAGTTTTGGTCCATTCAGCGCCCCTCAAACGGGGACTCCACTAACATGTACTTTGGCCAGTGACCCAGCGAACCCAGCCCTTCCCGATGTGGGCAAAGCTGCAATGCAAGAAAAAGGCCCTAAAGTGGCAACTTTCGGCAAACATTCAAAGTACCCGTTAGTAAGTACCCGTTACGGTGCCGTTGGTCCATGAATCCTGGGTTTACACCGGCCCTCCTCCTCCTGCCTTTCCGCATTTTGCGCACGGGCGGGCGCCCGCTCTTCGGCGACCCCACGGCCGCCGCGGCGCGGCGGGAGCGCCCAGACCGGGTGCACAAGGGCGGACGACGAGGCGGCGGGACAGCCGAGAGCAACGAGGGCGAGCACTCGGACGGCGGGCCAGCAGGAGAGAGGGAGAGAGACAGGGCGGACGAGACGACGAGGGAAACCGCTCCCCGTCGGGGCTAATTGCTTGTCTCTCCCACGGTTGTCCTCCTCCTCCTCCTCCTCCTCCTCCTCCTCCTCGTCCCCTTGGCGGCGCGCACGAGGGGGTGACGCGCCGAGGGGGGGGGCGGCCTTCCGAGAAGTCGGGGTGGGGCTCCTCAAAAGGCAGGGGCCTCCTTAGGAGGGCCCAGGTCGGCGACTCCGAAGGGTGTGCTTTGCAAGGGCAGAATCCTGGGAGGCAAAACTCCTGGGAGGGCTATGAAGCGAGATTGGGGGGCCGCTGAGCCAAATAAGGCTGGATTCGGCCCAGCGTAAGCATACTTTTTGTGGTCGCCGACTGGGAGCTTTCAAAAAGGCTCCTCAGAGCCCGGGAGGGCTTCTGAAAGGCCACGTTCCTTCTCAGATGTCCCGCAGACCCTACCTTCTGAGAGTGCCGCCCCGCTGGCGCGCCACCGCGTTGTTTGCGCCGCCGATCCCCATCATGCTACTCGCGGCAAGTTCGTGTCGGGACGACCCTCGCTTCGGTTTCTGACACCGCAGTGGATCGTTTACAGTTGAACGATCGGCAACTTCCCAATCGCCAGACTGTTCCATATCGGCCGATTGTGGTCCACTGGCGGGGCTCAACTTTGAGCGCCCGCGGCGGGGTCGCCGCTGCACTCCGCCGTTCATCCCTAGGGGCCTCCTAAATGGGGTCGGAGGATTGCGCAGCATCGCCATCGGCTACGTCTGCGATGCATCGGTGATGCGGCGCGATCCTCCGAATCCATCTACTACAGACAGAAGCCGTACGCCAAAGGCGTGTCGGCAGGCGCTACATGAAGGATAGCCTCACACATAATGGAGAGAGGAGGGCACACGAAGGAAGGGAGGGACGCACGACGACCGGGAACTCGACGCGAGGCGGAGCGATCGAGAGAGGGACGAACGACAAAGGATTCCCATGCGCCCATCGCCTCGGTCGACGCGGCAAGAGCAAACACGTTCGCCACGGGAAGCGCCGCTCCTCCTGGCTCAAGCTGGGCTACAACAACTTGAGGAATCCTCGAAAACACAGAAAATATTGCCTGGAGACGGCCTAAGAAGCTTCGAAGACACCCCAAGAGGGCTCTAAAAGAATCCCCACAGGGTCCCAAGAGGGCCCAAGACGGCCCAGAGGCGCTCAAGACGGCTTAAGAGGACCCCAGCAGGGCCCCAAGAGAGGCACCTCGAATTGATATTTTGAGCCCTCCGCCCCAACCTCCGAGACCGCCAGCACGCGACAAAAACTCCAAGAGGGCCCGAGAGGCCCCAAACAGGCCCGAAACCTTCAGACGCCACCAAGACGGTCCCCAAGAGGCCCCCAAATGCCTCACAGGTGCGCATCTTTCATCTCCTGGTGGACCTCTAGTGCGTGCCTCTTCTTCCTCCTCCAACTCCTCCTCCTCCTCCCCTCCTCCTTCTCCTCCTTCTCGTCCTTTTCTTACTTCTCCTCCTTCTCCTCCTCCTCCTCCTCTTTCTCTTCCTCCTCCTCCTCCTCCTCCTCCTCTTCCTCCTTTCCCTCCTCCTTATCTGTGACGTCCTCAATCGTGGTTCCCTGATTTCTCACTCCTCACCCTGCGCCCCCCCCTTCTCCTCCTTCTCCTGGCAGTCCCGGAAACGCCGCCTTGTGGGCGCATATGTTCAAGCCTGGGAAATCAGATGGGATTCCACAATCGTCGCGCACTCTCGGCCGTGTTGCGCCCATCCGGGGGCCCTCTTGTGCAGTCTTGAGCCCCACTGGGGGCCCTCTTGAGCCGTTGCCCCGATAGGGGAGGGCGCCGCGAGAGGCGACGACGACGACGACGACGACCACGACGACGACGGCGGCAAAATGGCGAATTCTCCAGGATCGGCGAAACGGTGTAAATGTTGCAAACCGCTGCGGATTTTTGCTTGGCCCTTCTCGGCCTCCGCGGGCGGGGCCGCAGCCGGGCCCCGGGTCCGCCATCAGCAAGGAAAGACTCGAGACGTAATGCCAGTCCTGCGCAGGGGGCCGGGACCTTCGGGCGTCCACGCCGCGAAAAAAAAAAAACAGCGACGTCGGAGTGCTGGGCCCTCGGCTTCCGACGGCGGCGGCGGAAACTGCAGCCGAGGCCGCCGAGAGGCCCCCGCAGAGGCCCCAGGAAGCCGCCCAGCGCGGCGTGTTGTCCACGACCCTGGCCCAAACATGCCCCTCTTCCTCGCTCGCCACGACCTCGAGTGATCGGTGGCTGTGCCCCCCAATGATCGGTGGATCCGTCCCCCCCCCCCCCCCCGAAGATCAAGACAGAGCCTGGACAGGGGTAAAATCGGACAGGGACAAAGCGGGCATCCCTGAGATACAGCGGCTCTGGAGGACGCATCGGGCGCCGCTGCCCTCTCCGAGCGTTCCAGAACGCTCCGAGAGCGTTCTGGAACGCCGTGGAGCGATTCATCCCTGTGCTGGCCCCGCCCGCCTGGGCCCAAGACTGGGTGCATGCCGCGGTGGCCCCTCGAGGATGGGGCCAATCTTGCACCACCCTGGAACGAGCCAAAAGGCCAAGTCGCTTCGCCATCCGTGGCCCTCGCCCACGAGGCGGCCCGAGAGGGCCTCCCACGCTGGCCCACGGGTCCGCCCAGCGCCCCTGGGATGTTTCAATCCAGCCTCTTCCCGAGAGCTTGGTGGACCGACCCATCGCGTGTGTGTGAATGTGTGTGTGTGTGTGTGTGAATGTGTGTGTGTGTGTGTGTGAATGTGTGTGTGTGTGTGTGTGTGTGTGTGTGTGTGTGTGTGTGTGTGTGTGTGTGTGTGTGTGTGTGTGTGTGTGTGTGTGTGGGGGGTTTGGTGTGGTGTGAGTGTTGGTGTGAGTGTTGGTGTTGGTGTTGGTACTGGTGTGGTGTGCGACGGGCCCCTGACAAACTCCCTGGAGGCCCCCCGAGAGGGCCCCGGGAGGCTCACGAAACGCTCCCAGGCATCCTACAAGATGAACGAAGCTGCGGAAGAGGAGGGGTTGTTCAGGACCCGCGCCCGCTCCGACAAAGCACTGGCCTGCAGCGGGTCGTAACATCAAACCTCCTTCTTGCTGCGCTGCGGCGATGGCAAGGCGGCTGGGTTTGCCGCAGGCTGCTTGATAGCCTCCAAGATCGCACTCCGATGAGCCCGAGAAGGCCCTGTTGGCAAGACCCAGAAGATGTCTTCAAGAGGGCTACGAACCCAAGAGGGACCCAACATGAGGGAGAAGAGAGAGCCCCCAATCTCTAGTGCAAGGTCTGACCGAAGGCCTACAAATACATCTGGTTTTTCTGTTTTGATGGTCCTCGCGCGATGGCACCCCGGCTCCTCGATCTTGTTCAGCTCCTCGGTCTCGATGGGCTTGCCGTAGGAGAAGTCAAATCGCAGCTTGTACTCGTCGTTGAGGGAGCCCTTCTGGTCGATCTGCGGCGGGGGGGGGCTACGATGCCTTGAGTGGTCGCTGCAGTCAGATTCGGGGGAACAACTGGACTCGTCCCCCCGGCCACTGGTGTCTGACCATCGCTGAGATGTAAATCATGCTCCCATCTGCACCGTAATGCTCAATGCCGCCGCTGTCCAATGAAGAGGATGAGCCATCGATGCACGCCCCCTGCGCCATCAGCACATACGCCAGACTGTCCTTGCTGCCAATTGTCGCCTTCCCGCAGACTCCGCGGCGCGCCGAGGGGGGAAATTTGGAAGGGGGCCGGGCCTTCCCAGCAGGCGGCGGGGGCATCGGAGAGACGGTCCGGCAAGCTTCTCAGCATATGCGGAAGGCCTGCCGAGCTTCCCGGGAGGCCCGCCCCCTCTGCCTCCCTAAGGGAACAAAAAATGGCATAAACATGAAAACTCGGAGGTCCGCGCGGATTTCTCGGATCGGCGCTGGACCCCCCTCCCTGGCGCGCGGAGCGCGCCAGGGGCGGCGCCGGAGGCGCCGCCAGGGGGTCCCAGCGCCGATCCGAGAAATCCGCGCGGACCTCAGAATTTTACTGTTTATGCCACTTTCTGTTCCCCTACTCCCCCCCCTCGGGGTGTGCCGCCGAGGTTCTGCCGGGCTGCTCTCCCCACCGCCCGCTCCTCCCCCAAGGGCGCTGCCCCGGCCAGGGCGGCACGGACGCCCCACCGCGAGGCGTCCCGGACACGGCGGCTCCCCAAAGAGGCCGCGGCGAGCGGGGGTGGGGCCCGAGGAGCCGGAGGCGGAGGCGGCGGAGAGAGCGATGGGACGCAGAATCTTCCCTTGGGAGGCAAAACTCCTGGGAGGGCCATGCAGCCAGATTGGACTGAGAGGCCGCTGAATTGATGAAGGCTGGATTCTGCCCGGGATGAGGCCAGATCAAGCAGGATTGGGCGATGTTGATTGGGACTAGGCCTGTTCCCTACCTAGGCTCTGCCTAGAAAGATTCTTACCCTGTGTGCTTAAAGGGCCGGGCAGTGGGCTTCGCCGCGGGCGGTTCCCCCAGGATCCGCCCCGCGGTTCCCCCAGTTACGTCTCCTTAGCTTAGCGTTGCTTATCTCATCTTAGCTTAGCTTATTTCAGATTAGCTTAGCTTAGTTTCATCTTAGCTCAGGTTTATCTTAGCTTAGCTTACCTTCATCTTAGCGTCGCTGAGCTTTAGCATAGCATAGCATAGCATAGCATAGCGTAGCATAGCATAGCGTAGCATAGCGCAGCACATCATATCATAGCATAGCCCAGCATAGCATAACACAGCGCAACATACCACAGCATAGCATATCATAGCATAGCGCAGCTTAGCATAGCATAGCATAGCACAGCATGACATAGCATAGCATAGCATATCATAGCTTAGCAGAGCATAGCGCAGCATAGCATGGCATGGCATGGCATGGCACAGCAACTAATGCTGCTTTCCTAGGGGCTCCGACTTCTAGGTAGGGCCGCACTGGGGTAATTTTATATCGACCACCGATGTACCAGCGCCGATGCAGAATTTCACCTGCCAAGAAATTGCAACCCAACGATGCTGTCTTCTGGAGGCGCGCAAATGGGGGAGGGGGCGGAGAGGGCGGCTTGCCGTGCTCGGAAAGCCGCCAACCCTGGGCCCCGGCCCCCCGCAATATCGGGCCATCACTGTTCGTGTCGAATCCACGGCGGATCCGCGTTGATCCGCGTCGGGGGCAAGAGAGGACCAGCTTGTACAGGACAAAACGAGGTCGCCCGAAGAGAAAACTTGGGGGCTTTTCTGGCCACGGCGAGCCTCGGTCACGACGAGGCGCCCCGACCGAGGTCTCACGAGCGGCCCGAAAACCAGAGCCCCTCCTGAGCCCAAGGTTGTCCTTATTTCTTCGTCTCGAGAAGGGGGCGAGGAGGGGACGAGGAGACGAGGAGGAGCAGGGGACGAGGAGGGGGCGAGCAGGGGGCGAGGAGGGGGCGAAGCAGGGAACGGAGCAGGGGACGAGGATGAGGCGAAGCAGGGCAACGAATCAGAAGACGACGAGTGGGCGAAGCAGGGGACGAGGAGGGGACGAAACAGGGGACGAGCAGGGAACGAGGAGGGGATTTCTCATCCTCTGCCTTCCGAAGCAGGGGCCGAGGGGCGGCGGGCCCGGACGTCTGCGGGAGCGCGTCCCCCACCCCTGCGCAAACCTTCCGCGGAGCATTTTTTGGGGAGGGGGTGCAGGGAGTGCCTGACCAAGGACAGAAGAGCATCCTTCAAGCACATGAGACCATCCGCCTTCCAAACTGACGAGCATCCGAGGGTACCCTCCCCTAGGATGCACAAGGACATCCAACAACCACGAATAACATCAGGGCACCCTCCCCGAACCGACCTCGATCGTATACCTGTCCGACCGTAAGACGAATCCAGGACGAGTATCACATCGGGTGGGGATAAATCGAGAATCTCTGAGATCACGCGGCTCTGGAGAATCTCTCAGGCGTCGCGGCCTTCTCGGAGAGTTCTGGAACGCTCTCGGAGCGTTGTGGAACGCTCTGGAACGGATTTACCCTCGTCCTGGCCCCGTCCGAGGAAGGGATGCCACGCGGGAGAATGAGGGGGATGAGGAAGCCCGAGGGCCGAGAAGTAGGGGAAGGGGGCGGGAGGGAAGCGGGGTGGGGGAAGTGTTTGTCATTCGGACGCAGGTTAGCGTCAGGCCCGTGCGGACGAGGGGGAGGGGGTCACAGGATGCATGGAAAGGAAAACGGGAACATGAAATCTGGAAGATTTCATGGCCCCAACCATGATATCCGAAGCCCCGACATCCTCGGAGGAGGGCCAATTTAGACAACGGCCCCCTGCTCGAATCCGCTCAAAATCGGTTCCCGGACCCCTTCCGCGGTCCGGCCTGCCCAATTTTTCGAGGCGGGTTCAGCCGTGGCAGCGAGAAGCCTCCAGGAGGCCAAATTAGGACGAGAACAACCAGGGAGGACAAGCATTGTCTCAACTGGCCAAGAAGCGGCCCAAAAGAACCGGGGCCAGAAAAAGGCCTCTAGAGCCAGAAAACGTCCAAACGTCGGCCGTCCCGATTTTTTTTTGCGTTTCCTGGATCTGATGTGTGCGTGTGCGTGTGCGTGTGCGTGTGCGTGTGTGTGTGTGTGTGTGTGTATGTGTGTGTGCGTGTGCGTGTACGTGTGCGTGTGCGTGCGTGCGCGTGTGTGTGTGTGTGTGTCTGTGTGTGTGTGCGTGTGCGTGTGCGTGTGCGTGTGCGTGTGCGTGTGTGTGTGTGTGTGTGTGTGTGCATGTGTGTGTGTGTGTGTGTGTGTGCGTGCGTGTGTGTGCGTGCATGCATGCATGCATGCGTGCGTGCACGCGTGCGTGTGTGCGTGCGTGCGTGCGTGCGCGTGTGTGTGTGTGTGTGTGTATATGTGTGTTTGTGTGTGTGTTTGTGTGTGGAGCGTGTCTCGCCTTGTCTCCCAGCACCGCGCGCAACGCGTAGTTGAGGATGTGCGTCGCGGTGTGGTTCTTGGCGATCAGGGCGCGCCTGGCGCGCCGAGAACGTCGCTGACGCCCCGCAGAGCCAGCGAGCGGCGGCATTGTTCAAGACGATCAAGGAGGACGACTAGGACGACAACGGCGACGACGTTCTCCACCTCCAGAGGCCTGCTTTGATACATGACATGGGTTGGGATGTTCTGGAGGTTTCCAGAGGATCATACTATCACAGCTGTCCACGAGTTGCACGGATGGAGAGTGGTGCGTTTTCGAAATGGAGATCTCGCTGTTCTCTTCAACGTCCACTTTCGCAAATGTAGAACTGTACAACAATTGCACGGGCGAAAGCCGCTTTCTTTTCAAAGGGGAACCTGGCTGGATACCTGCTTAAGTTTTCCGGTGCCACCTCTTGACACTTCTTGGAGCTAGATGGCTTTTAGGGTGGCTCCGTTTCAAGACGGAGGTCTCGCCTGAATGACAGGCCGATAGGGCGCCCGTCTTTCAAGGGGGCGTTTCGAGAAATCACAGTCAGGGCGCTGTCAGACGGAACGCTACATCAGGAACGAAGCCCTCGTGTTGTAAATCAATTGATGCAATCCTAAGAACGGACGAGCCCCTTTTCGGAGGCGTTCCCTCGTCGTTGCCTCTCGTTTTGAAAACGGCCCCTCCCTCTGCCGAGGCCAGGGGAACGGGCTTCTTTGCAAACTTGCGAGGGAGCGCAATCATACCCGATGAACCACCGAGCCCCTTCCGAACGCGAGCTGGACCTTATTTCAGCGTCATGACTGTAGGGGGATGGGTTGCTTTCAAGGACTTCTGAGGGGACTCTGTGATGGGATGGTGTATTTCAGCATCGTTCATGCATCCTGGTCCACTTCCTGCTCCCTCCTCCTCCTCACAGCTCCTCCTCCTCCAGCTGCTCCTCCTCCTCCTCCTGCCACTGCGGGGATATCCCTGAATTCAACAGAATCCTCCTCCGCCTCCTCCTCCGGTTTCTCTTCACTCCACTCCTGAATCAGCAGAATAATTGGATGAACATCCAGAAACATCCGAACAAACAATCGGGCACTACCGAAAGTCCGCTCGGAATTTGTTTATTCCTTTGACGTAATTGTCAACACTGGAACACATCCGAATAACCTCATGCCCGTGAGAATAAACACTAGGGGATAATAAAGTTCGGGGTTCAGGGAGAGATAATAAAAGTAGCCCAGCAGACCTCAGCATAATCTCGAAGTAAGAGATGATCAAGAGGAGACCAAGCCGAGCACGTTTTGAGACATCCTTGGCGTTTAGTTTTCATAGAAATATCCTCAACAATGGCTTATCTCTCATGAAAATTGTTTTTTGTAAGTGCTCGTGTAGGGTAGCTCATGTGCCTCAATTTCCATGGATAATCAACCCCAGAGATAAAAAAGTTCAGGCGAGCGTGGGGACAGAGAGAAATATAAAAGAAGAAGAATACAGTAGAATAATAATAAGAAAGAAGAAGAGGATAATAAGAAGAGGACGAAGAAAGGAAAAATCCAAAGTTCCAAATCTATCAATTTTAATTTACAAACGCTTTATGAACATTGATTTGTTTAAGTGCTCGTGTAGGGTAGCTCATGTGCTTCATTTTCCATGGATAATCAACCCCAGGGATAAAAAAGTTCAGGCGAGCGTGAGGACATATAGAAATATAAAAGAAGAAGAGGAAAGTAGAGGAATAATAAGAACATTGCTCGTTTCGTTTGAGTCTGCCTCCCAAAATTATTGGTTTCGCTTGACACATCCTGAAAAAGTGTGATCGCTTCGCTTGAGGTTGCTATATCAACATCGCTTGACGTTGCTATCTCAACATAGCGTTTCGAGGTGATAATGAAGTTCGGCCTCAGCGCTCGCCGCCCAATTTGAATTTTGTATAGGGCGACGATTATCAACTCTAAACACTGAAGGGGGGGGTCCCTTTATTATCATCGGCATGCGGTTACGTTCGTAAACCTTCGCTGGAGATCAAACACATAATCAACGGGGAAATTGTACCCTGGCGCTTTTTCGGGGATCAACTCTGCAACCAGCGTCTTTTTTGTCTGACGCTGCTGGGGCCCGGGGAGGGCCCCGGGAAGCCGAAGTCAACGAAAACCTTGGGACTGCTTCCCCTCAAGACCCCCGAATTCACGGCAACCCTGGAAAGCGCCCTCCCAACAAGTCCTGACAGGAAATTCGAGGCGGATCCGCCACCGGCCAAGAGAAGCATCCCAGAGGCACACGACAGCCAGGAGAAGCCTCCCAGAGGCACACGACACCCCCCGATCCACAAGACCATCGAATCTCGATCCTAGGGCCTCCCCGAAGATCCGATGTATCGTTTTTTGATACTGGGTCCCAGGACAGGTTGACCTTTCCCCAATGCCAATTACACATTTTTCGTAACTGTTTGACTGTCCTGGTCCCAATGGGGGTCCCCTGCAGCCGAAAACTGGACACCAAAAGCAGTATTGCGTATTGCCTTTGAGAAGGTTGGGGCTCTGGGTCGAACCTCCGGGGACCTCCTCCTCTCTGGAATGGGGGGGAAGGATCGAAGGGACAAACTCAGGGGAAAATCGACTCGGAGTAGGCGATGCATCGCCGACACTCGCAGATAGATCGGCGATAGTCCCTCGACAGTGAATTGACACGGTCCATGGCGGGGAGGGCTATCAGGCCGAACCGGCGATGAACGGGCGACTGGGGGCCGATGCAGTCCCCCCTGAACCTTCTCCTCCCCGGCCGCCGTTCGGGACGATCCAGGCATCCCCAGACATCCCTTGGTGAGTCGGAGCTGCTGGAGACCACCCTGAGGGTGGAGAACCGCTGAGGACCAATGAAAACGTACAAAGACCTACACGTTCCAAGCTGCCGTTCCATAAACGTTGCCCCTCATTTGAGCAGGGACCGACCGTCCCGGCATTCCTATAGGCCTACAACGAAATGTTTTCAGAATCAGCCGATCTCGTATCCACAAAAACGATGATTTTCGAACATGAAGCCAACATGTTCGAACAAGACGGTCTCAGCCAGACCATTCAAGAAACCTTGTGTGCCAACCACAAGAGGTTCTCCCAACATTATTTGGTGGGCCTATAGGCAAGCCAGGACGATTCGCCACTGCTCGACTCATGGCAGCCGACCAGGCCTGGCGTAGTCGACCTTGACGCCCACAGCGTCGCCGACCTGCGGGCGGAGGAGGAGGAGGAGGAGGAGGAACAGGAGCAGGAGGAGGAAGAGGAGGAGGAGGAGGAGGAAGAGGAGGAGGAGGAGGGGGACACAGGCACGCTGCGCCCGCGAGGGCGGGCGAGCGGAGGCGCGGGGCCCTCCCTACGCCGCCGGTTCCGCGGAAGCCGCCGTCGTCGCCGTCCTCGCTGCTGTCGCCGTCGTCGCCGCCGCCGTCGCCGCCGCCGTCGCCGCCGATCGGCGCCGCCGCCGATCGGCGCCGCCGCCGATCGTCGATCGCCAATCGCCGAGCGAGCATCGAGGGTCGCAGCTAGCCAGCGCCGCGACGGGGCGGCGGCGGGCTCGGGCCTCGGGCTCTCGCCGCGGCTCGCGCTCCGGTGGCCCCCGGGGTGCTCACGAGAGTGCCCCGCCAGAGGCTGCAAGCCTGCGAGAGGAGAAGGCGGGCGCTCTGCTCCCCTCCCTGCCCCGGAGCTCCGACGGCATGGTTTTCAATCGCGGCGCTCTTCTTTCCTTTCGGCCTGCGGGGGCCCTTCATCGGGCCCGGGACCATCAGAAACGGGCAAAAACGGGTACGGGGCGAATCACTAAGTACTTTCAGGGAAGTGGTCGGGAGCTGGGAGGGCTCGGATTGAAGCCATCATATCGTCGTCAGATCCTAGGCCGAACCCTCCCTGCCGCCAACCCTCGCCTGCCCCCTCTCTGGACTCCAGCCCACCGGGCACGCCTCGGCGTGAGCCGTCGCCATCCTCGTCATCTGCGCCTTCGCCCCGCCTTGGAGGCCTTGAAATCGCCAGGGTCACAAGACACGCTAACATTTGAGCAGGGGCCGACCGTCCTGGCATTCCTATGGGCCTACCACGAAAGGTTTCCAGGACACACGAACAAAACAATGTGCAAAGGACAACAGCAATGCTATTCCGACTTATACCCAGGCGTACTCTAACAACATCCCATGCGAACAGCCCAGACATGCATTTAGAACATTCTTTGTCTGGGGGAGCTCTCGGCTCGCGAGGACGCGTCGCAACTGCTTGAAGCATGGACCACAATCGCATGGCTCTGGCGCGCGGGCGCGCGGGGCGCCGCGGGGGGGAGGTGGTCGGACGGGGCGGGCCGATTTCTGCGTAAGTGCTGGCGACGGCGCGCGCCTACCTGTGCCCTGGAGCGTAAGACGAGGCCAGGACGAGGACAGACTCGGGTGAGGACAGAGACGACTCTCGGGGGTCCGGCGGCTCTGGAGGATGCCTCGGGCGCCGCGGCCTTCTCAGAGCGTTCCCGAACGTTCTGAGAGCGTTCCCGAACGCTCTGGAACGGACGGATCCTCGTCCTACAGCCCCGTCCGAGAGCGGGGCCCGTCCCTGATCTCCGCGCCTTCATTCGAAGAAGAAAAATCGTACAAGCAGACACTTCTGGAGTTCAGCACAGATTTTATGGATCGGCGCTGGAGGCGCCGCCAGGGGGTCCCGGCGCCGATCCAAGAAGTCCGAGCGGGGCTCTGAACATTCCTGTTTATGTTGTTTTTTCTTCTTCGATGGGTGTTCCTTCTTGCTCTCCTCCTCCTGCCCTCTCCCAACGCCGACGGCGGCGGCCAGAAGATCTCAGCGGACCTTGATCTCACCGCCAGTCATGGTCCCGATGTGGAGGACGAAGCCCTGCGGTGGCGGTGCGGGGGACAGGAGGGGGAGAGAGGGGATAATAGACGTGCGCGTTTTTGGAAGTCGAAGTCGGCTTCTAAGACCTCGCAATTCTTCGAAGCCGAGCCCAGCTTCCACAATCACGCCGCTCTCGTAGGGGGCCAGGTCGGACGCACAGGGCATGCTGGTATTATGCGCCCTCCTTGGAGGCGCACGTCCGAAACGAACGTATAGCACGACCATTTTATAGCGCATCGCTGACGCACCCACAATAGGAGCGTGTTCTGGTGATGCCGAGAGGAGGGGGGAGGGAGGAGGGAAAAGAAGAGCGGGGAGGCGAGATGCGGGGGGGGCGGAGAGCCCCACGCCGGCCAAACATAGGACGATCGTGACATCGTGATAGGATTGGCTCACAAGCTTGCCATCGGAGCGCGATTCGGCGAATTCGGGGCCAGGCGCGTTTGGAACTGCAACCGGGGTGCGACTCCGCACCTTCGGGCGCAGGCGCGCCCAGAAGCGCAATCGGAGGTGCGCTTCGGGCGCCAGCGCCACCGGAGTCGGAATTGGCGCGCGCGATTCCGTGCACTTTGCTGCGCGCGTGCGGGCGCAGACACGCCCGAACCTGCAATCGGAGTCTGAATCCGTGCGTTTGGGCGCAGGAGCATCCCGAATTGCGATCGGTGCAAGATTCTGCGCATTGATTCTGCACATTGGGGCGCAGGCGCGCCCGTTTTCGCCATCGGCACACGATTTGGCGCAATCCGGCGCAACCACGCCGAGTGGGGCGCGACTCCGCGCGTCGCAATCGGAGCGCGACTCCGCGGGCGCAGAGTTGCGATTGGAGCGCGATTCAGCGATCTTGGGCGCAGGCGCATTCCAGAATTTCTAGCGGGTCTCGTTTCTGCAGCCCGTTTGTGGCCTCTTGGGGACCGTGTTGGGGCCTGTTGGGGTCCTCTTGGGGCTTCTTGGGGTGCCTCTTGGGGGCCCCTTGGGGTCTCTTGGGGGCCTCTTGAAGCCTCCCGGGGGCCTCTTGGGGCTGAAAGGCTGGACTTTTCAGTTCCTGGCCCCCTTCTTGGGCCCCTCTTGGGGCCATTGTGGGGCTCTCTTGGGCCGTCTCGGGCGCCTCTTGGGCTGTCTTCGTGCCATCTTGGGCCGTCTTGGGGCTCTCTTGGAGGCTTCGTGGACTGTCTTGGGGCGGTCTTGGAAGCCTCTTGGGCCGTCTTGGAGCGCCGGTAAGCCGAAAAGGCGAGAACGCCAAAAACCGTCAGAAACTTAAACAAAATCACTAATTTCTGCCTGTGGGCCCTCTTGGGAGGTCTCTTGGAGGCCTCTTGGGGCGTCTCGAAGGCGCTTTGGGCTGTCTGAAGGCAATCTTTGGCGTCTTGGATCGCTCTTGGACCCTCTCGGACCATGTTGAGCTCTCTTGGAGGCCACTTGAAGCGCTCCTGGAGCGCTCTTAGGAGCCTGCTGGGACCGGGCCGGGACCTGGCCGGGACCTGCCCGGGATCTTGCCGGGACCTTGCCGGGACTTGCGGGGGTACTGTTCGTCCGGGGACCCCCAGGGGCGGCCCCGCGCGCGCGAACTAGAACTATTGTTAACCTGTTACTGGAGATCTTAGCACGCCCTGGGCCCGTTGGGCGGGCGAATTGTCGTTCGCCTTACTCCCTCTGCAAAGTAGCTGATTTCGCCTAACGCACCCCGTTTTGCTTTGCTCGCCGGCGCAGTCCCTCTGCCTAGCCGCCGACGTAAAACAAACAGCGCATCATTATGACCTCTTGCAACTGGCCCCCGAATCCTCTGGGATAGACCTGATAAGGCTATGGTATTTTTGGGGCCCCCACCTGAGATCCAGGAAAGCTCTGAAACCACTGGATCTGGGAGAACTCCTGCTTCAAACACGTGCTGGAATGTGATCCGAAAAAGACTCGGGTTGGGTGCAACCCTGGGAAACTCTGGTGCGAAAACGGGACGCCCTTGCCAGGAGGTACCCCTGACCACTCCCTGCCCTAATACCTCTGGCTCTAACACTCTGATCGTGACCTTTCGACTACACGCAAGAGTGACCCTGGGCTAGAGTGACCTTTGGTGCGTGGAATTAGGGGACTACGAAGGGCCCAAATCCAAGCGCGCGGGCCAGTGCTGGGGCCACCCCTGTGAGCCCGCACCCATGGTCACTCCTGCGCAAGGTCACCATTACGCGCAGCCGAACCTCCTGCACCTCTGATGCAGGGGCTGCTGGATCCCGCGCGGCGAGGCAAAACAGCGACCTGGACCTCGCCGAGGTCTCTGGGGCTCGGGGCCCGCCTGGCCGCCTCATCCTGCCCCCCGGGCCCGCTGCCCTGAGGTGCAACGTGAAGGAAGGGGCCGGCTCAAGGGGGGGCACCTTGCTCTGAGGCCTCCGGAGGCCTGGCCAGGGTCCTCAGAGGCACCCCGAGGCCTCCAGAGACCTCCAGGGGTCTCCCGAGACCCCAGTTGGGCGCTGACTGAGACCAGGGGGGGGGCCTTCGCTTCAGATCGGCGGCTCAAAGATGGGGCCCGGAGGGATGGGGCCCTGAGGACGAATTGTCTCAAGCAATGAAGGCTCAGCTTGGGATCCCCATCTGACTCGGAGGGTGGGGGAACGCTACGGAGAGCCAGCTCAATGGAGGGGAACATCGACTCGGAACCTGCGATGCATCGCCGATAGATCGGATACGGGCCCCCTACAGCGAATCCGCATGTTTCTGGGCGGGGTGGGCTATCGGGCTTCTGTATCGGCGATGAATGTGCGATTGGGGGTCGATGCGTTCCCCCATGGTTGGCGGCGCGCGCATGGGGGGATAAGGAGTGGAGAGGGCTTCTTTGCATGTAGGCTTCTTCTTAGAAGGCGCCGGCCCCGCATCTACAGATAAGGCCCGCGACTTCCAAAAAGCAGGAGTGCTTCTAAAAAAACCTCCCCCCTTCCCCGTCTGCGCGTGGCTGACATGTGCCTACCCCCCCCCCAAACGTTGCCTCTGAGCTGGGCCTCCTCGCAGGGGGGGGCCGCGGTGCGGGGGACGAGCGTGCCAAGTGAAGAATAACGCAGCTCCACGGAGATCTCGACCCCTTCCCCCGGACCGGCTTTATCACACATCGTTTTTGATGGTCCCAGGGCCTGGCGAGTGTGCCCAGAGGCCAGACATAGTTTGTAAAAACACGTCCGTCGTTACCTGTTTGGCTTCAGGAGGAGCCGCGTGCTCCAGGGGGGAATCGTGGCCTCCCCTGCGGCGATTGGGGGCTGCAATGCGGGTGCTGCGCTCGCGGGGGGGAATCGCCCGCCGAGCGGGGCAGGCGCGCGCAGGGTACTCTGCTTGAGTACCTCTAGCCCACGCGGCGCGAGGGGGCACCCCTGTAGGGTGTGTGACGACTCGATCAGCTCGAGCCGCTGGTCTCTAGAGCTCTCGGTCCTTCCCTGGGGCCAGATATTCGCCCCGAGAATCTGTTTGATGGCCTCGAGGCCTGGAGACGGGAGTCCGAAGGCGAAGAGCCCTCCACGCGAATGCGCCGAGTCGCCAGAAAGGTCTGGGCCTCCCTCCGCAATACTGCCCTCTGACCAGAATTTCGAGGGGAATCCACCCGTGGCGACGACAGGCCTGCCGCAGCCCCGAGGAAGGCCCTCAAGCGACACAAGCGCGAGCGATGAATAGTCGTCGCGCGTTAAAATTTGCTGCAGCACGGACGAAGGGAATCGGACGTGACCCATGTGTGACCGCGCAGCAGCCCTTGATTTCTTCTTCCCTCCCACTTTTTTAACGCGACAGGCCACCGAGGGCGGGGCCTCGTCTCACCTCCGCCACGCCACCGACGACCAGAAACTCCACGCGCAGAAGAACCGCGATCGGAATCCGCTCCGCTCTCGGGCCTCGTCGCGCGCGCGCACCGTGACCAGCCCGCATGCGCCAGCCGGGCCCACGGCGCAGCGCTCGCAGCGCCAGCCACGCACCGGTCCCGCGGCGGAGCTCCGCAGGCCGAGCCCTCGAGCGGGCGCCCGCGGCGCGCGGGCACCTCGCCGAGGCGGTGTGGCCGCCCGGCAGGAAGGGCGCGGTCCAGTGGCCGCCGGCAGGGGCGCCACCGGCAGGGCGGCGGGCAGGCTGAGCCCTCGAGAGGGTCCGCGCGGCGCCACGCGCGCCGGCTGCGAGCTGCCCGCGGTGCGGCCGCCGGCAAGGCGGCCGCGCCGATGCGCGGCGGCGCCCCGGTGCCCAGACGTGCGGTCGCTCGGAAGGAACGAGAAGGCAATTTTTGCGCTGCCCTCCTGGGCCGGGTTCGGGCCCCGCGCCGTCATGAAGAGCCTCAGGGTAAGCCATGTGACGCAGGGGGCGGGGTCGACCGAGCCGCCCTAGTTCTGGGCACTGGGGATCCAGGCCCTCGAACATGTGGAACAGAACTGTCGGATGTTGGCTTGATTCCTTGTCATCGCTCGGACGTCCATTCCAGGTGCATGTTTCGACTTCGTGCATCCTTTTCTTGCTCGATGACCAAAAATGCTCATCGATGGTCCTCGCCGAAAAAATGAACACGTGCGAGCGATGCCAAGATTCTACCCTTCTCAGTCGCTCGGCATCAACACGTGCTGGCCTGCGCGGCCGCCTGGAACCGCAGCGGAGGTGAGGCGGCCATCTGGCACGGGAAGGAACCGGCAAGGACAGCTTCGAGAGATTACGGGACCTGGGACTCACGTTGCACCAGACCTGCATAACTCATACAGGCAGACCGCAGCAGCATGGCCAACATTCATGGAATCCACGCAAGGACTTTGTGGAATGTATACGATGTCATCTGCTTCGCAGAGCACATCATCAGAAATACCTGTGTCTTCGTGGCCGATGATAAGGGCCCAATTTGGATCAGGATGCGGGTGGATGGCTTTCGTTGCGCCAGCCTCCACGGTCTCAGCTGCATAGACGTGGCAGCGTGGCCGCAAGCGTCGGACAAGGTCTGCAATAGTCTGACCTTCATCTGGTGCAGAGAACCTCATGTAGAAACAAGATCCCATTGATACCCGGGCACACCGACCATTGACATTCTTGAAAGAACCCCTTGAAGCTACAACAGACCTCACATTCATTGCAGCCGCTGTTCTGAAGATTGCGCCCAAATTCTCGGGAGATCCTAGCCCATCCAATATCAAAAATGGTGGCTCCAGTCGTTCCAGTTCCTCGCGGACAGGGAATGCGCAAATCACCTGCAGACTGGAGCTAGAATGCTCGACACCCACAATCTCGCGGACCACCTCTCTGGACGAAACGAGGAGAGCTTCCGCCGGCAAGTTTAGCCGACATATTGTTTAGGAAGCAAGCCCTGGCAGGTCTTCGCAATAACGGATAAAACGGCAATTCAACCCCATTGAGGGGCCGTTAAACCAGACTAGCCCAAATTAAGCTCAGGATTAAGCTGGATTCGGTTGGTTTAAATGGCTTCACGGGCATACCAGCGCGGATGCTGAATTCAACCTCCCAGGAACTGCATCCTAATATTGTATCAATGATCGCGGGCTTTTCCAAGTCGCCATCATGCACAAGTAATGACTCAATATGGATCTGACGCCCCTCATCAGCCCGTACCCGGGCAAGCTTTCCGAGAACACGTGGGCCACCATGGGCGTTCATGGGCTCTGCCTTGCAGGATCAATTAACATTGAATCGGCAAATCGGATTGAACCGGCCGTGTCCAAATGCACAATAAAGACACGCAAATATCGGGACGCATCATTCGTCGGATTATCGGAAACGAATCGGATTGGGCAGGCCGGAATCGGTACACTATCGGATCGGGCGGGTCGAATTTGATCCTGGCCTTGTGCTGCAATCGGAAAAGTCTCCGATGGCGCTCGAAAACTGCATGGTCCCTGACGTTCTTCATCCTGTACAGAGCTGCCCTGGGGTCAGTCGCAGTGAACACTTGATGCCAAGCCTTGCCGCGGAGAGCATGACTACCGCACATCGCTGACCCACAACAGAATGAATCCACATGACCTGAGCCAAAATAAATGGCTACGGAGGGAAGGACAATTAGAGTTAGGTCGGGCGTGTCCCCCTACAGGCGGACTTTGGACGAAACATGGAAAATGTCAAACAAATATTCAAAACAGTCTCAGGTACTACAAACATTGTTCCCTGACTACTTTAAGACTATGTTTGAATATTCCTCCTGTAAGAAGACCGGCCCAACTCAAAATTAGGGGAAGAGGGTCACATACGTGAGGGGAAACGTGAGGGGGGAGCACCTCAGGGAGGAGGGGGGGAGGGGGGCAACCGACCTCCTGGAATTGGGGGGTCGATGCGTCCCCCCCTGAGCCCTTCCCCCCCTTAACGTTGCCCCTGCGAGGGGAGGGAGGTGGGCGGAGAGAGCAGCGGGCAAGGGAGGAGCATGGCCTGGCACAGGGTCCGTCGGTGTGGTCCTGGCGGCCACCTTGGGCCACGTCTGGCCACCTTCGCCTGCCTCGGAGGCCTGCCTTGGGGTGTACTTACAGGGCAGTTTTTAATACATGGGATTTTTAAACATATCGGATCTTCAACATATGATTAATTTATGAATAAAATTATGCATGAACTCATCGTTGTTTTTAATACTAAATCCCTGCATTTTCAATACATGATCCGCACACGGAGCATGTATAAAAAACAGCACTGTACCCTGACTTCTGCTACTGATATTTTCGTCAACAGGCGAAGGTTGTGGAGCTCTCAACTCGTGGCGTCTCTGACTCAACAGTGGCAACTTCTGGATGCATCGGCACGGAATAAACATCCAATCCGATCCGCTGCGCCAGGATGCACAGCTGCGCCTTGCAAGCATCTGGCCGCATCAGATCGCTACGGCGCCGTCTCATCGAAATCGAATCGCCAATCGCATCGAGCTCGGTGAATTCGACGTCGAATCGGATCGCCTGTATCGGAATGGGCCCCGCTCCGGCGTCTCTCGGGGGGAGCGCCAGAATCACCGCGTGGCAGATGAACGTCGTAGTTTTGTTCACCGGGCGTTTCCGCCCAACTTCGGGCTCCGGTCGTGATGCTCCACGATGCTGATTTTGCTCGCGACGTCGGATCTCAAGGGAGGGTCCTGGGAGCTTTGCCCAGGAGCAAAGCGGCAAACACATCTGAGGCCCATTTCCACCCAGACAAGCCTAGCATGAGGATGACTCGCTCCAAAACGTCCTGGAAAGCTCCCCAAGCGGTCGGAACGGCCGCTCGCCCGATCACGGAAACGGCCGCTGCGCCCGACCGCCAAAACGGTTTTCATTGGAACGTGCCAGAACGGCCGATGCGCCCGTCACATCCTCCAAACTGCCGGCTCTCAAAGATTCCCGATATACCCGCATCCAGCTTTCCTCGAAATCCGACGTCACGAAACAAATGCAACATGGTAGAAATACTCGACCCAAATCCTGGACACCTTCTCTCTGCTGCATTTTTTCGAGCCGGATCGATCCGTGAGAGCCCCGGGCTTTGAGCAAGGCGAACTCGCCGCGCTGCTAAAAAAAAAGCTGCGCCAAGATCTGAAGAAATTGCCCCCATCCGACACTGTTCTCACATACGTACTGCCTTCGTCGTGAGAACCCCCTCTCTTTACAGCGACCCGCGCGCCGCGTACTTCTGCGCGTCTTCGCACTTAAACTCCGCGCCGGCCGCGGTGGTGA